TGCCAGCCCGCTCAGAGATGTGTATAAGAGACAGATGCCAAGCATACTGAAATAAATTTTGAAATTTTGGAGATGAAAATTGAAAATGTGTCAATGATTGTAGTTTTAAAATAGAATCTCTTGAATGAAGTTTAATTTCTAAATCTAGAAGCATTTCCTTGTTAGAAGTAACCACTTTTCTACATTAATGCTCATAGTCCGTACGATTAACGAAACAACTAGGGTTTATGTCTGCAATAGGAGTCGTAAGTCTATAACTACTGTACTTCTGAGTACGTCTCGGAGTTTGTGAAAATTTCCAAGGGATAGAATCGATTACTATATGGATGTACATTAGGGTGGTCCTTATTTTTCGAGTTATGGAATCTTTTTAGTCTCATAGTTTTGATTGATTTCTTTTCATAAAAAATAATCCCTGTAAAATTTCAGCTCAATCGAATAACGGGTAAAGGTGTCGAAGAATGATTAATTTTTTTAGAATAAATGTGTATTTTAAATAATAATTTTTTAAATAAAACTCCCCATTTTTTATTAGGTATTCTTGTAGCTTATTTCGAGAGCTTTCCAAAAAGTCATTGATAAAATGTTTTTTGGTTAAGTAAATCTCGAGTTATAAAGCTTGAAAGTTATAGTATCGCCGGCATTATCCAAGCATTATCCAAAGTGTCCGAACAATGGCTAAAATCATTTAAATGTTATTCAGGAACATGACATATATATCAAGATCAAGGCTATTAAAGATTGTTGCTCTTTTTTTTTTAAATAAAAATAAGAGATTAATGGAATAAAAATAATTGGATAATGCTATAAATGCCGGTGGTACTATAACTTTCAAGCTTTATAACTCGAGATTTACTTAACCAAAAATCATTTTATCTATGTGTTTTGGAAAGCTCTTGAAATAAGGTATAAGAATATGTAATAAAAAATGAAGAGTTTTATTTAAAAAATTATTATTTAAAATTTAACACATTTACTCTAAAAAATCAATCATTTTTCCGCACTCTTTCCCGTTATCCGATTGAGCTGAAATTTTACAGGGACAGTTTTTTTATGAAAAGAAATCATTCTAAACTGTAAGAATAAAAAAATTCGATAACTTGAAAAATAAGGATCACCCTAATGTACATACAAATTGTATGGTCTATAGTCAATATATAGAAATAATTACTCGTGCTATAGTATGTGGAGATAAGTTGACTAATGTTTGGATATATAATTTTTGATATGAATGTAATCACAAGATGTCTACTGTAATATTGATTTTGGTAATCATTTCAATAGTGTAAGATGCAACCGTTTCTTTTCGCACATTTAACACACACATTTTTATGAAAGTAATATTATCACTGTCTCCCAAAAATATGACCGAAAACATGAAATATTAATTATTTATAAAATATTTCTTTTTTTAAACTTATACGCCAAGTACGTAAAAAAAGTTTAATTAATTCTAAAGATAAAACATTTTTTAATAAACGGTTTAAATATTATTATTTATAAGTTAATTGTTGTAACATATATATGAAATCAATAAAATTAGCTAAATATTTCAAAATGATTTTGAAAAAGTTCAGTGAAAAATCTATTAAATAGTAAAATAATTGTAAATAAATCATGATTAAAATAAAAAATAAATAAGATTAATAAAAGTTAATTTTTTAAAAATATTAATAAGAAGTGACTAGTAAAAAGTTCCACAAGTAAAAGAACATCAGTTCCCTTAATTTATTGCTACGAACGAAGGAGCGAATAGAAATTACAAAGTTTGCGAGCGATGCAATCAATATCTGTTTCCATCAAAAAAAGATTTAAACCAAAGATCGAAATGTATATATTTCCTTATAACTTTTTTGTTTCTCATTACTCATAAATAAATGCACATTGTTTACGCTATAAGAACTGCGTTGGCTTCGCTCCAAAAGGCCAATTTAATTATTATTTTTGATTTGTCATTTTAGAGCCCAATATTCTTATTTTATTATAATCAAAGTTGCAATTATGGCCAATTCGAAAAATTAACTATTACGAATATAATTAATCATGGTTTTTGTCGAAATATTAATACAATTTACTGTAACAATGTACTCTTGAAAGTTTGATAATTTTATAGATAATGCCTAACCTATTGGTCCTATTATGTAACTTTACTTTTTTATTTATATTTAATTAAAAGTAGGATATTATTGCGAATTTTTTAAATATAACTTGTTGCATCATTATATATATATATATATATATATAT